TATATAATAGTTTTAAAGGTAATATATTAAATAATTACTTTTATCTAACCTTTTAATAATAATAAAAGTATATATAAGTATAGAAAAACTTAATATATCTTTAGTTTTAAGCTATTTAAATAGTTTTAAAGGTAATATATTAAATAGCTTACCTTTATTTAGTTTTAAGTAATAATATAAGAATATTATATCTATATATAATAAAAATATTTTTATATAATATAAATTCTAATAAAATAAACTTAATATATATATAATAATAAGTTTATATTTATATTATTAAAGTAACTTTAACTACTTTTATAAAATATTATATAAAATCTAATTAATATAAATTATATTAAGTTTTTATTTTAAAATAAATACCTTTATATATATATTTATTCTATATATATATAATAATTATTCTTTATTTATTATTATTATATTAATATATATAGAATCTTCTTTATTTAAACCTAACTTTATTTATATTAATTTCTTTCCTTTTAACTATACTTTATAATTAATTTTATAACTTTTCTATATAATTCTCTATACTTCCTTTTCTTATAGCTTATATCATATTAAATTAATAGAATTTTAACTTTAAAAATAGTATTATATTAAAAAAGCTTAATAACTATACCCTTTTATAACCTTTACTATATAACTTAATTATAATATATATTAATATATATCTTATTAATTAACTTTTAATTATAAAAGTTATAATATTTAAGTTAAATATAATTTTTATATAAATAGTTACTTTTATATATAATTTTTAATTTTAATTTTATTTTAAAATTATACTATTAAGTTTATAAACTTCTTTTATAAATTAATTATTTAAAAATAATAAGTAATCCTTTATTTACCTCTTTACTTTATACTAATAAATCTTTAAGTAGCCTAACTTAATTTACTATTATTTACTTTTAAAATAGGTATAAAATTCTTATTATAACTATATTAACCTTTATTTTATTTATAAGGATTAATAATAATCCTTAAAGCTTTTATTATATCTATTATAATGTATTATCTTATTAAAGGTTTTTCTATTACTTACTTACTAATATAATATTTATTATAATATAAATATATAGTTAGTTATATTATTTTAATTATATTATAATTATTACTTTTAATAGAATTTTTTATTAATAATACTTTAATAATATCTTTTAATAAATTATTTAATATTTATTATAAGTATTAAAAGTTAATTTAAAGTTATAATAGTATTTTATATATAGGTTTTTAAAGCTTTTTTATTAGTTAGTATAATATTTATAGTAAAAATAAGTTAATTAATTAATAGTAGAGTATTTAATATTAATTATAATAATATAGTATTAAAGAGGCTATTAATTTATATATTTTAATTAATTAAATTTATAAATAGTATCTTTTATTTTATAAATATTTATAACCTTAATATTTATTATAAAAATATTATTATATAATATTATTAATTTAAAATATAAAAATATTTATTAGGTATAGTTAATATAGTAGTTTTTAAAGAGGCCTAAATTATAATTTAATACCTTAATATAGCTATTTTATAAGTTAAAGTTATAAAAATATTAGTTATATAGAATCTTTACCTATTTATTAATAAGTTAATAAAGTATAGCCTTAATATTTAATATAATAGCTTTATTTAAACTTTTAATTTTAAATTATTTAGTTTCTTTTATTATTAAAGTTAATATATAAAGTATAGATAATTAATAAGTATAATAAAGGTTAAAATGTAAGATTAACTAATAAATTATTATTATTTTTAGCTTTTTATTAATATAATTATAAATTTAATATAATTATAGTTATATAGTTATTAATATAGTTATTATTAAAATAATAAAATAGTAAAATAAGTAATAATTAGGTATTAGAATAAGAGAGGTTATTATATTTAATTAGGAGAAGAATTTTTTATTTTTATTTAACTTAAAAATAAATATATAGGTACTTAGATTGGTTTATATAAATTAATTTCTTTTTATTTTTATTAAGTAATATATTTATTATAAGGGTATAGTAGTAAGAAAGTATTTAATGTATAATTTTTAGGGTTATTATAGGGTAGGTTTGGTAGGTATATAGTATTATATGAGCTATATATATTAAAAGAAGTATTAGGTGAGTGAATGGTGAGAATTAGGTGAGTGGATATAATTACTAAGTGAGTAGATATTAATTTATAAAATAGTTTTAAAATAACTTTTATAAAAAGAAGAATTTTATAATATAAAATTTAATAAACTAACTTTTTTTTAGTAATATATTTATTATATAACTATTTAAATCTACTTTTATTAAATAAGTTAAATATATTATAATTTTATTTTAAATATATAATTATTAATAGAATAATAATATTATAATAATAAACTTATTTAAAAAACTTTTTATATAAATTTTATAAAAGATTAAAACTTTTAGAAAGTTAAATAGAGTTTATTTATTATATATTAAATAAATACTATATAAAAAAGTAAAAGTTTAAATATTTAAAAATTAAATCTTTCTTTTTTAAATATATTATTTTATTATTAAAGATTTATTTACTTTTATATAATATATAAGGAATATAATAAAAGAGAGAGTTTTATAAAGGAAGTTAATAATTTTATATATAAATAAGTTTAAGAGTATATATTAAATAATTATTAACTTTATACTTAAAATATAAGTTAATAGTTAGTTTAAAAGTTAAGAAGATAATAAATAGATAAATAGTTAAATAAAAAATATAATATAGCTAAAGCCTCCCTTTAAGAGAAGATTGACGTCTTGAGGGTTCTATTTTCTGTGATACGGGAATTAGGAGAATTTTTATAGTGGAGACTAGGCAAACCGCTGCAACGAGGACTGTGCGCAACCAATCATCAAACCTCCGTTTACCGTGACTGATTACGTGTCCTTGGTGACAACATGGGCTTTGACATACTCGACCACATGCTTTTGTTTTCTAAGGGCGTTTCGACAGACATTTAATAGGGCTACGCTGTACCTGAGTAGGCTGTCGACGCGAAAGTGACGCGCGTAAGTATGCCCATCACGATATCCCGTAGGATGCCGTCGAGTAATGGGCCGTCCGAGCGGGCGGTCGAGGTGAAAGAGATGACCAGGATTCCCATATCTGGGCACTCAGGAATTCCGGAAAGATCTTCCCATCTGAGATAAACCACGCCACGGGGTCATGACTGGTGCTACCCAATGGGTAGGGCATTTGCTAACAGGGGCGGGCTTGAATCCAATCTTTTTGCTGATCCCTGATTGTATGGAGTGTTGCTTGTGTTGTCTCGCTCGAGGGAGCCAGGGGTAAGGTATTAATTGCATTGAGTGTTAGCTTCCGCAAAATAATGATCAAAGGAGGCTGTATCCGTGCCTTTGAACGGCTCGTACCGATGCGAAAATGAGACAAAAAAGAAAAGAAAAGAAAATAGGAAAAGCTACACAGAGCTCAGTGACAGCCGCGGAAGCATAAACCTACAAGCTGGCATGGATATTCGCCTTTCCACTCCGGCTGCCTACATACAGAGTTGAAATTAGTCTGAATTAGTTTAGTTATAGGCCTTGACTAAGATTAAAGACTTTTAGTTAAGGAAATAATAATTAAACCTTTTTTTAATTAATAATTATAATTAAAGATTAAATTAATTAATAAATTAGTTTTTAATCTTTAATTTAATTAAAAAAAGTAGGTCTTATTAAATAGTATAGGTAGAAAATTTAAAGTATATAAAAAAAATTTATTTAATACTTATAGAGTTTAAGTTTAACCTTAGCTTTAATCTACTTTTTACTCTACTTTTTACTTAAATAAAAAAGACTTACTTCTTTTTTAATCTTTTAGTCTTTTTTTAATTTAATCTTAGTCTTTTAGTTCTAATTACTTAGTATAACTAAGTAATTAAAGACTATTTTTTTTAAATTATAATCTAACTAAAAACTAAAAGATTAAAGATTAACTTAGTTAGATTAAGAAATTAAGGAATAAATTTACAACCCTGCCTACATATGTATTTGCTGTTATGTACCTCAATTACTGACTTCGAGACTCGGGTATACGATATTCGTGATGCAACATGAGTCCAGAGTGACATCCGGAAAACTTGGCTTGCATCTGCGCGTTGGTTAGATTGTGCTGGAAGTCACAGCACCGACATATCAACCCGTGTATATGTAACCTTAGGACCTCCTAGAAGTGGATTCATGCAGAGACGCGAGGTCTCAGCACGTGAGTGTCCACCCTCTTGCGTCCGGTGAACTTCAGGACAGCGGTTGAGACCTATGTCCTCGGACGTATACGGAATAGAAGCGAAACCGATGAGACACATGGATACGAAATGTTGATTTCAAGCTTACGCGCCCAGCTGCAGTGATGAGTGATGGCTTGCTGTTCGTCCTTAGTGATGATCGCTGCTCTCCGTGGGCTGTTTCCAATTCGGGTCCTTGTCCAGCAATCTTTATAAATGTCGACCTGAAGTCCCGTTGCGCATGTTTGTAATCCTTCTTCGATCAATCACAACACCCCCAGTCTAGATTCAAGTCCAATTTCTTGAAAAGAAGATGTATTTTGAACCAGCTTCCGTCTTACTACTTTCGTATCTGGTCGCTCATGGATATGGCCAGACTCAATGTCCATCCGTCTGGGGCACAGTCGCAGCCGACCTCAATGGTTCGTTCTCGGGCACCGATGGATGCACCGAAGATGCGAGAGCAGCAATCCGCTTGCCATTTCATGACTGCTTCCCAGGGGCGTGCGATGGATCCATCATTCTCAGCGATGAGTGTACTGCTCGCGGAGAGAATGCCCAGCTTGTCAGCATCTGCAGTGTAAGAAAGTTCCTGTTTCTTTTGCGTTTCCCCAGCTGTTCTTTCGTCGATTCAAGTGAAATCAAGACTGTTTAATATTCCAGCTTCATGGCGTTTCGCTAAAGCACGATTACTACTAGACCCTTGGTGCGAAAGCCACTGAATACAATGTCAGCAAAGCAGATATGATACAAGTAGCTGGAGGTAGGACAGACACATGCCGGATCGACATTGTTGCAGACCGCAGCTAATGGTTTTAACAGCCGTCGCAATTGCTGCCTGCCCTCCGGGCCCGAATATCCAGATCAAGGTCGGTAGGGCAGATGTGGACACCGCGAATGCAGCGGGGCAGATCCCATCACCAGCCAGCAACGCATCCGTGATCATTGCTCAATTCGCTGCCAAAGGATTTGACAGCGGTGAGCTGGTCGCGCTTGTCGGCTCGCACAGCGCTGGCAAGAACCTCACCGGAACGCAGTTTGACACGACGCCCGGGAACCTGGACAGCACGACCTTCTACACCGAGGTCCTCGACGATGAACAACCAGCGACTTTGTTCAGTGACCAGTCACTTGCTACCGACGAGGCCACGAGTGCTGACTGGAAAGAATATGCCGGTAGTCAAGATGCATGGAACACTGACTTTTCGGCAGCGTATGTATCGTCTACCGTTCATTGTACATGTGGCAACCTTGTGCTGACTTTTGTTTGGCTTCAGTATGGAGAAGATGGCTGTCTTGGGAGTCGATGAGTCTACACTGATAGACTGCACAAATTTGGTGTTCTCAGCCATTTCTGCATGAAGGTGCCCTTCGGGCAGTTGGCGGGTGTACCGCAAGCCATAGTTACCTAGGTATGCGGCCAGCTTCGGCTGGGGCATGGGAGGCCGAGATCCCTGAACAAGGAAGATGGTTCCTGGGTAGAGCTACGGCGAGCCCTGGGCGGAGTATGGGAGAGAGTCGTGATTGGCACAGGGAACATGCGGCTGAACGTGCACTCTACCAACACTCGGAAAACGATGCCGAAGTAATCGAGCACCAGATGGCGGTGCTAGTGCGCGCATATGAGATCCGTCGAGGCAGTGGCGGCCTAAGGAAAATGGAACGGGGGCGACGGTACCATTCGGGAAATTGAAGCTCGTGTCCCGCTTAAATCCGGCTTTCTCATAGATAGCCATGTTTACCAGTCCTACTGAATTCATGATGGGCGTCCTAAGAAGCAACGCAGGAATGGTGCCTTTGACCTGGATGCTTCTGGCACATTGGATAAGCTCAACATTGGAGACAAGGCAGTCATCAACCTGACAGTGGGCGAGATCATTCAGATCTATCGACATGCCTGGAGGTGGTGGTTTGGGTCTGGAAAGCACAAACTCAAGTCTCGACTTGACAGGACTCTGAAAGAGCAACACGCATGGATGACTGAACGCCTGAGTTTGGTCACAGATACCTCCAGGGGGCGGGACAATAGATAACAGCGTCGTGCGATAGTAGAAAAATCTGTCTGGAGAACACCGAAGGGAGCCTGCACCTACTACGGTATGGTCGGCCTGGTCGGAGATTATCTCTCTAGGCCGATTCCTCAGCTTCAACTTGATATCGAGTACCTGGGCACCTTTCGAAGTTCACACTCTTGGTGATGTAGCTTGCTCTGGTATTCACACCACTTCCAGTCCCCATCTCAGTACACATGCCATCCATCAACAGTTGCAGAGCGCCACCTCTGGTCATTGCGTAGGTATGGATAGTCTCCCGACTTCCGAAAGGCTGGAACTGCTTGGCAACGAGTCACTGTCACTGTTGCGGGTCACATCGTACATTTTCGCGGGAGGCCCTCGAGACAAACTCCTCCAGCCGAGATGTTTTGTGGGGGCTCGGGCCTTGACCCATACGACGCTTGGCTTGGAAAATAGATTTAAATTGCCACCGGCGTTGTGCCACCTGTAGGGGCCATACAGTTTGGATGGCCCTGCATCTGGGTAGCAACACTGCACCGCAAGATGAGTGGCAAGCACTATAGGTGAATCTATACTTGGCGTCAGACTGGAAACCGACTGGACGACTGGCCGGGGGCTGTAGAAGGAGTCCCGGTAAGGTACCTAGGTCTGGTCATCTGTACGATATAATATCTACCATGTCATGTGCTACTCTGAGGTCACGACAACCCTGGAAGATAAGCCCCCGAAAAGAAAAAAGCCAAGTGTTGTTGAAAGACCCACAGAAAGTCTTCAAGCTTTTTGAAGCTTTCCAAAAAGCTTTCCAAGATTCCTCGGCTGCCGCGGTCATTGCTCGATCAAGCCTCCCCTAGGTGATGAGGCCCAGAAGCCGATCTGCAGAGGTCAAGATAGCATACCCATGCTCCACGACTTTTCGCTTGATTTACGTGTGGTATAGAGAGAAATGATCGCCCAAAATCCGGAGAAGACACGAATCCAGCATTGTTCGGTTAGGATACTCTGGGTGAAATCCCCGCCTTTCAAGGGTCCAGCTCTGCATCGCCAAGCGTGCCAAGCAGCAGGGACAGTGAGATATCGCTCCGAAAAACGAAAGGGTCGGTTAGGCGACTGAATATCGCGGCTAAATAACAGATCACTTCTTATTTGGCACATTGCTTATGCTGTACCCCAGGCTGGGCACGGCAAAAAGCATTGAACTGCCTGGGGGTGTGCCACTCCATCAACTGTTTACAATTTGCGCGAAATTGCCGTGGCCACAGAACCTCATGATGCCGCCTCAAGCTATGCCCAAGAGGGACAAAACTCCAGATGCGAGACTCCGCGGCATTGCATACGATGAGATCAGTTGGATCATTAGATGACGCCGGGGGCAACAAATCACGCCCAGGAACCGAGAGAGTTCTAGATGCGGGTGTATTGGGATAATCAGAGCTAGAGGCAAGGACTGGAAACTATAAAGATGAGTTAGTCCCAGGTCACGTTCGTTAATCGTGGACGAATGCTCTAGATGGTACTATAATTCACCCAAACGGCAGAATATCACCAACACTGTTCTTTGAAATCTACCATGGCGAGATCTGCTCTTGCTCTTCTGTCGTTGCTGGCTGCTGTCAAGGCCCAGCAGGTTGGGACTCAGCAGAGTGAGACTCACCCGAAGATCACCTGGTCCAAATGCTCAGGCTCGGGCGGCAGCTGCACTTCACAGAACGCTGAAGTCGTCATCGATTCCAACTGGCGTTGGCTCCATTCCACGAAGGGAACCGACAATTGCTATGATGGCAACAAGTACGTGACAGAACCCAGAGAGAGTCGAATTCACTTCAATCCCTGGTCGCCGCGAATGTCTGATCTAACACGCCGGGCTCCCCGTACGTAGGTGGACATCTGTCTGCAGCAAGGCCGATGAATGTGCACAGAACTGTGCCCTCGAGGGTGCCAACTACGGCACCACTTATGGTGCATCGACGAGCGGCAATGCCCTGACCCTCAAGTTTGTCACCAAGCACGAGTACGGCACCAACATCGGATCGCGGTTCTACCTGATGGCCGGCACGAGCTCCTCCAAGTACCAGATGTTCACGCTGATGAACAACGAGTTCGCCTTCGACGTCGATCTGTCCACTGTGGAGTGTGGTCTCAACGCTGCGCTGTACTTCGTGGCAATGGACGAGGTGAGCAGGAGCTATAGATCATGCGTGCTACTGGAGAACATTTATTGACCTGTCTCAGGATGGTGGCATGTCCAAGCAGACCAACAACAAGGCTGGCGCCAAGTATGGTGTCGGATACTGCGATGCTCAATGTGCTCGCGACTTGAAGTTCGTCGGTGGCAAGGTGAGCATTCCACTCCTGTGACTGCTTCAAAGCAGAGGTAGCAGTTATGATGAGTACTCACACAATATCTTAGGCCAACGTCGAGGGATGGGCTGCTTCGACCAATGATGCTAACGCTGGTGTTGGGCCTATGGGAGGCTGCTGTGCTGAGATCGATGTTTGGTACGTTTCAATGAGAAGACTGGAGCCTATATAAGTTTCGCCCATGACTGACCCGCCGGCGATTCGTAGGGAGAGCAACTCTCACTCGTTCGCACTCACACCTCACGCGTGCACTGACAACGCATACCATGTCTGCGAAAAGAACAACTGCGGCGGCACATACTCTGAGGACCGCTTTGCTGGCAAATGCGACGCCAACGGCTGTGACTACAACCCCTACCGCATGGGCAACAAGGACTTCTATGGCAAGGGAAAGACGCTCGACACCAGCAAGAAATTCACGTCAGTACCCCAGGCTATGCGGTGTTGAGGCATCGACGGGCCCCATACTTCCTGCAATTTAGGAGCTGACATTCGATGCTGCAGTGTTGTGACCCGCTTCGAGCAGAACAAGCTCTCTCAGTTCTTCGTGCAGGGTGGCAAGACAATCCAGATCCCGGCTCCAACGGACAGCGTGAGTAGTTCATTTTGATGACGTTGGCGACACCGAATGTACTAATTAAATACTCACATCCGCACAGAGCATCTCGTCCAGCAGCAACATCACCCCTGAGTTCTGCACGAACCAGTTCAAGGCTTTCGGCGACCGCGACCGTTTCGCCGAGGTCGGCGGGTTCTCTCAACTCAACTCCGCTCTCCAGAAGCCCATGGTCCTCGTCATGTCCATCTGGGACGATGTAAGTCAAGTTCTAACAAGTCTATATGACATGCATAGATTTACCAAAAATATCCACTGACGATTCTTGCTGCGCAGCACTACGCCAACATGCTCTGGCTGGACTCCAGCTACCCACCTGAGAAGGCCGGCCAGCCCGGTGGCGACCGTGGCGACTGCCCTCAGACCTCTGGTGTCCCATCCGAAGTCGAGTCCCAATATGGCAGCGCGTAAGTCATGTCTATGTTCCCTGGGAAATTTGCCCCGAATGATGCTAACGGACCCAAAACAGTCAGGTCGTCTGGTCCAACATCCGTTTTGGCCCAGTCGGATCAACCGTCAAGGTCTAAGTGTCAGTTCTCGTTTCTCGAGAAAGAAGATGACGGTCAGACAATTCGTTTCTCTGTAGTCATAGTACTTTTGTCTATCACTTTGTGCAAGACAACATTATAGTTTGGCTAGGTAGTGGTTCCATGGAAAATGGAAAATCACTTGTGTTATATTCTCCAGCCTTCTGAAAATATGTGTTCGCAAGCTGAATCAGCCAGTATATCTGAGTAAACTTGGGTGATATTTTCCAACGTCGCGAGATTTCCCATGGTGACCTGTGGACATTGGTGACCACAGAGGGGGACTTTTAAGGTTGACGGGAGGCGACAGAGGCTGCGAACATCATCCTGCTATTCGATTTCCATGATAAAAACCATCACATTGTTAACCGCCAACAATATTCCTAGCTTATTTTTGATGCAACACTTGGTATGCCGGACCGTCAGAACGGAACATCTGCCGGAGGTCCTCCACAAGGGCTTCCGGCTGCTCCCAGGCTGCAAAATGGCCGCCTTTCTCCTGCTCCTTCTCAAATACGACGTCGCCCAAGCGCCGATTCCACATCCTCGGAGTTCCAGCAATCTCTTTGGGAAAATATGAGAATCCCTTCAAATCATCACAACATCAGCGAATGTCTCAGCATTGGAATTTTCCGTGCACTTACCAGCTTGGCCTTCGGTATCGCACGCCCTGTGTCTGCCTGCCATTCGCCTTGGAACATCTCGTAGTAGATTCTGACGCTCGCCGCGGGACCAGCGCGGCTGAACCAATACAGGCTGACCCACTCGCAGATCTCTTGGTCTGTCCAGGGGTAGTCGTCTGTCCAGGCGATCAACTTCTCATAGATCCAGGCCAACAGTGCGACAGGGCTATCCTCGAGCATGGCGCCAATAGTTTGGGGTCTGGTCCTCATCATGTGAAGGTAGTAGATGCCATTGTCCTGGTAGTTCTGGGCAGCTTTCAGGCCCGCTTGCTCCTGGGGCGTGTAGAGGTTCAGCATATGCGTGGCAAGGAAACGCACGAAGCCAAGCGGTGACCTTGTCAGTGGCGGTGGCATAGCGAGGACGAAGTTGAGATGCAGTGCCAGCATTGATTCCGGATATAAGTTGCCAATGGATGTGGTGATGTACATGCCCTAGGCAGGTACGCTTCTGATTAGCCTCTGTGGGGCCACTTCCAGTACGGAGGGTGGGGGTCAAATAAACTCACCCAGTCGCCGCCTTGAGCGGCATACTTCTTGTATCCCAATCTCAGCATCAGCTTGTGGCAAGTATCAGTATACTGTTGCAGACCAAACCCCTTCTTTGGGATCCGGCTTGAAAATCCGAAGTTTGGTAGCGATGGCACCACTAGGTGAAAGCCAGGACCGTTTTCCTGCTTCGCAGTGAGCAACGGCAGAATTTTTGTCGCTTCAAGGAAGCTTCCTGGCCCTATGAATGGAGAACTGATGTCAGATGGCTATCGAGATTCGTATCCGATATTGAACACATAGGTTCTGCACTCACATCCATGAACAAACAGCAGCGGAATCGCATCTGGATTAGAGGACCGCTGGTGAATGAAATGCAATCCGAATGGCTCGAAACCATCGAGTTTCATATCAGTCTCATAGTGTGGCAGTTGATTCAACCGCTCTTCGAATGATTCCCACTTGAATTCATCCTGCCAGTACTTGGCCACGCGCTTTAGGCTTGCGGTAGGCGCGCCATGCTCCCAAGTATCCGCACTGGCGTCATCTGGGAACTTTGCTAGTGCCAACTTCTGACGTGTCTCTTCAATGGTGGCTCGAGGGATGGAGATTTTGTACTCTCGAATGTCCGACATGATGACCGCGATGATGATTGACTTGAAGGAAGTGTTGGAGAAGGAGAATGACTAAGTCGGTCTTGCAGATGGGGTGGAGTCGGAAGAATCTTGTGAGCCCGCAACAATGATTATTGTATGAGCGGCAAAAGTGAGAATGCCTGAATCCTTGTGGGAGATGTTTGCAAAAGTTCGCCGCCTGACGGGACCAGTTGGTTGCTATCAAGGACGAACACCCTGGCTCTCCACTGCTACCGTCTACCAACGGTTACTTGGCAATATATGTACCCCGGTGGTTCCGGCGCCTGTTGGTGAGCTAGAAAAAAAGAAGACATGTGGGGCGAATTTGCACTCAAGGGAAAAGGAGCACCAACATGCTTCGCGTTGCAACACTCCGATCCTTCGTCTCCTGCTGCAAGGGCTTTGAGGCTACTGCCCCATAATACTGGGACCACGACTAGCGGTTCTATAGAGATAAGCATACTATTCCCGAGTATATATAATATTCCCAAGCAGGTATCGAGCTATAAGTAATTAATTAGGTCTACCTATTATAATGCTCTATTATTTATAAAAATAGATTTTCTATACTTACTATTTATAATTAAATAATTAGTTAATTTATTTTATTTAATATACTTTATTTAAAATTATAATAATTATAAACCTAACTTTAATTTAATTTTCCTTTTAAATATATACTTTTAAATATATTTTTATTATTTAAATACTTTTAACTTAAAATAAATAAACTATACTACTTAATATATCTTTTAAAAACTTTAAATATATCTTTATTAAAATAATATTCCTTTATAATAAAAAAGTTTTTAAAATAATATATTTAATTTTAATTTTATTTTATATTTAAAGAAATATAAAATATTATTAACTTAAATTTTTAAATTTAATTTTATATTATTAAGCTTTTAAAATATATAATATTTAATATTTTTATTAAAAATATATTAATAATTAAATTAAATACTTTAATTAAATAATTAAATAATTTAAATTTAATATATTTATTAATAAATATAACTTAAAGCTTTTAAGCTTAATAAATTAAATAAAAAATTACTTAAAAGAAACTTATAAAGTATTATAAATAGTAATTTAAATCTTTTATAATTTCTATTATATTTAATAATTACTAATAATTAATTTAAAATTAAATAAACTATATAATTAATTTAAACTTATTTAATTTTATATAAATAAAAATATTAAATTTTAAATAATTTATTAAATTTAATTTATTTATTAAAATATTTAAAAATACTTTAATACTTTTAAAAATAAATATATAAATAGTTATTATAAAAATATTAAATAATATTAATTATAATAAAAAAATTAACTTTTAAATAATATATTTATTAAATTTAAACCTTTAAATAAATTAAAATATATAAACTTATTAAAATTAAAAATATATTTATTATAAAATTTCCTTAATATTATAAATAGTTAATTTATTTTAATTTAAATTAATTAAATACTTTAAACTTTAATAATATAAAATAAATTTAATTTAAAAATCTAAATTTTATTTAATTTAAATAAATAATTTAAGAATAATATATATTAAAAAATAGATAAATTTAAAAACTTATTATATTTATAATACTTATTATTCTTAAATAATTAAAATTAAAAAGCATTTAAAAATTAATATAAAAAAATATATAAAAACTTTATTAATATTCTTATAAATCTTTTAAATAAAATAAAATATAAATAATTCTTTAAAACTATATTTTAATAAAATAAGTTATTAAAAGTTTTTAAAATAAATAATAAAATTTAAAAAAATAATTTAATACTTTTAAAAATTAAAAATATATAAATATTTCTAGTTTAATAAGTAAATTAATTTATATATTAAGCTTTTAATAAAAAATAATAAAAAATAAATATTTTAATTTTATTAATAAAGGAAAAAAATAAACTAAATTTATATATTTTAATAAATTAAATACTTTTTAATTAATTAAAATATTAAAAATATATTAAATCTTTTTAATTATTTAAAGAATTCTTTATTAACTTTTAGAATATTTTATTTAATAATTATAGAGTATTTTATTTTATTAATAATTAAAGTTTTTAAATTTAATTTATTTTAAGTAATTAAATTTAATAAATTAATTAAAGTAAAAATTATATTTTTAATATTAAAAATGGTATTTAAATATTTTAAAATATAATAAATATTATAAAAAACCTTAAAATAAGTATTTAATATTAATTAATATTATTATTATTAAAAACTTTTATATAAATATTATTTTAAAAGTTTTTATTTAAATTTAAAGTATAATATTATAGGTTTAATTATATATTTAAATTTAAAATTATTAAAAAAATATAATTTTATATAATTAAAGTATTATTAAAATTTAATATTTATTAAATATAAGTTATTTTATTTATTTAAATTTTTAAAAATTTTAATAAATAATATAAAAATTATAATTCTTTTAACTTAAATATTAATATAATACTCTTTTATATTATTATTATAAAAAAAAATTTAAAGTATCTTTAATATATTAAAGTTAAATATTTTAATTTAAATATTTTAAAAGTAATAATATAAATAATATAAAAGTTAAAATAAATAATATATTATATATTTAATATAAATATTATACTTTAATATATATTAAATAGATTATATTAAAATAAGTTCTTAAAAATTAAATAAAATAATTTTTAATATATTTAATAAATTTATTTAACTTTTACTTAATTTTAAAGATATATTATAGTTATTAATAATTAAAATAAGTTTTAAATATATTTTATAATAAAAATTATTAAATAAATTTAAAAATATATTTTTATATTTTAAAATTATATAAATATAATAAAATATAATATAAATTTATTATTTATAAAACTTAATAAAATAATAATATTTTAATATTTTTATAAAATAATTATATATAAAATATAATATAAAAGATAGGATTTTAAATTAAATATATATTAATATATATTTATAAATTTAATAATAATATAAAGTATATTAATTAAAAGTTATTATTTAATTTATTAAAATATATATTAAAGTAAGTTTTTAAAAATATAATTATATATAAATAAAATAGTAATTTATTTTATAATTAATTTTATATAAAGTAGTTATATAATACTCTTTATATAAAATATTAAAGACTTAATTTATTTAATATTTTTATTAATATATTTTTAAAAGAATATATAAACTTATTATAAACCTTTATTAAAATTAAAAATATATATATATATTATTAAATATATTTATTATAAAAAACTATAAAGTTAAATATTATAAATATAATTATAAAGTTTAATTATATATTTATATTAAATATTTTATAAAATATAAAATAATAAATATTTATTTAATATAAATTTTAAACTTAATAATATATTATATATATATAATATTATATTTAATAAAACTATATTTTATAATTTATAGAATAAAGTAAATTAATTAAATATATAATAATATTTAAATATACTTAGTTAGATTATTATAAAGAAGAAAAGAAATAAATATTTTATTTAAATAGGTATTTTAAATAAAGTACTACCTTTTAAGTAATATTTAATTAAATTTAAAGTTTTAAATATATTTATTATAAATTTAAAATAAAATTATTATTTAAAAGGCTAATTATTAAATTTAAAGTAAATATTTAATTTAATTATAAAAATATTAAAGGGTATAAAAGCTTTTAATTTAAAATAAAAGCTTTAAAGGAAGAATATTAAATTAAAAATAAAGTTATTAATAAATAATTAAAAGCTTTTCTAATAAAAAGTATATTAATAATATTATTATTATATAAATTAATTTTTATTATAATTAAATTTAATTAAACTATTTACTTTAAAATAAAAAAATAATTAATAATAAAAGTAAGTTAATATTTATAAAATTATTATTAAAATATAAAAATATTTTTATTATAATACTTTTAAAAATAAATATATTAATATTTTAAAAGTTTATAAATAATCTTTTTAATATTTATATATTTAATTAATAGGTAGTTTTAAATAAAAAAAAATTAAATATATAAAATACTATATATAATATTATTTATAATAATTTAATAATATTTAATAACTTAAGGAATTTTAAATTTATATATATAATAAAGTTATATAAAAATAAACTTTATAAATTATTATTAAATAGTTAAAAAAGTTATAAAATTATTTAATAATAGATTTTTAAATTTATTATATAAATTAAATTAAATATTAAATTAATAAAAATATAAAAATAATAAAAAGAATTTAATTAAAGGTAAATTATTTTATTTAAATAAGTATTTATATATAAATAAAATTAAAATAGGTTTTTAAAATATAATAAAGTTTAATTATATATATATATAAATATATAATTATAAAATATACTTTAAAGTATATATATACTTATTATAAAATTATTTATATATATATTATAACTTTTGTTATTTAATATAACTTTTAAATTAAATAATTTAATATAATAAATATATTTTTAATACTTAATTTAATAAAGTTTCTATTTATTATAAGTTTTAAATAATTTAAATAGTTAAGAATGTATATAAAGCTTTATAATATAATATATAAATTAAAAATATATTATTTTGTAATATAAAAGTTTATATTAATATTTTAAAAGTTTAATTTATAAGTTAATATAAAAATATTTTTA